TCATTCTCGTGAATATTCGTTTGAGATATACATAAAAGAACACTTACACATTGAATCTGTGGTCTATCATATGTTTTCAATTCAGTGGCAAGGTTGCGATTGCATGTGGGAGAGAAGAAAAATGAAAATATCAAAGAAAACCATTCTAGTGCGTATGAAAAATTAACAAAGCAACATTTCAACTCATAATTGACGTTTCGAATTGAATTAGAAAAAAAAAATTCAAGAAAAAGATGTTGAAATATGCAGAGAAATGAAAATTAAATATTCATCGTGTTCTGCATTGCTACTCAATATTGAGACTTATTCGTTATACCTAGGTGGGCAGAGGTATGTTCTGAGTTTTGCTCCCCACATGCGTCCGAAACTTACACCGTTCTGCAAAATGAAAAAATGGGGTTTGCCCCTCCCCCCACTGAACTTTATAAATCTTTTTTGCTGGTCAACCCTTCCGGCCCTACCCACCTATGTTCGTTAAACATGTTCTCATAATCAAACCTGTCCATGAATTGAATACAATAAGTTGGAAATGCAATTGGCTACAGTGGTGTCACAACAAAAATAACGCTTGCAGTGAAATTGTCGCAACTTTCGTAATTTCTCAAACGTAAATTGATCGAGATAAGTTTTATGAAAAATAATTGAATAAAAACACATACTTTTTAAAAGTGCTGTAGTTTATGCTCTTGTATCAGTTTTAGTGGCGAACACTTCTTCATCAATTGTTTGAAGCAAATCATATATTTTCTTTTACATTATATAAATCTATATCTTGATCTGATTGAATGAAGTTCAGTTTTTTCGTCTATTATTAAGTATTTATTATTTATAAATCTTCATAAACGTTTAAATTTTCATATATTTTTTCTGTCCAGTCATCACTATGATTTTTTTTCTGCTTGTCATCGATCGCTCTTGTTAAAAGTTTCAAGTGAAAGATTTATCCGCAGCAACAATGTGTCAATATCTCAATTGTTTCGTGAAGTTGGTTGAAAATTGTGGTAAATCTTTAAAAGATGATTCAAATATTTCAAAACGTAACATAAGTTGAATGTTCGAGCATCATTTACAATATGCACTATTTCATACGATGTGAATTTTCACATAGTCGAACATTTAATTCATATCTATTCCAGAAATTGAAAATGTCAAAGTTTATCTTAAATAAAAATGACGTTTTGCAGCATTTTCCAATGAGATCGAAATGAAACTGTTTTGGAATTTCTTGCTTTAATTATTCGTACACGGAAGTTTCAGGTCGACACAAAATCTAAGGGCGTTTAGCTTTTCGAAATTTATTATTCACAATTCTAAATAAACTATTCACACAAACCAAAATTAAGGATGTAATTTCAAAGCCAGAGAGAATGTCATGAATATTCAGTTGAGTGTCATTTCTCATTTGCTTGTGGCCATATTCATTTTTGTCCTCTTTTCCCTACCACATTCAAACGAATAACTCAACTAAAGCCATTCATTGTCATGAATAATTCATTTTAAAATTTAAAATCTAAACTCTCTCAGGTTTCGAAATGCCGAAATTGCATTTTTCTTACACATTTCTGATGATTTAAAGCGAAAGAAAACTTTCCCTATCGCATGCTGCAGTGAACCGACGAAAGTAATATATATAGCAAATCATCACAGAGATTTTGTGATAGAATATACATGAACTCCCATTTTTAGTTTTAGTTTTTCGATAATATTTTCATATTTTAGAATAAATATGTTATCCAACGAAAAATTTACGAGAATTCAAACAGACACCTTTTTCTCTCACTTAAAAACGATAAAAAGTGTTATAATTGTGAAGTAATGATTTTCGCGCTTTAATTTTTCACATATTTTGCAAATTTTACTGAATCAATTTGCATTTTTTTCGGTTTACAAACGCATTTTGATACAACTTTTCTAATTTCATGTGAACTTTTCACCATTTTATTTAGGTCGCGCGGTTTTTTTTATTCGCTCTGTAAATTAAGTTGACTAAATTACATTGCAGACGATTTAGTTTGACATGGGTAAGAGAGTTAACTTTTTAATGATAGAAAGAGTGAAACTAATTTTCCGCTACATTTTAAATAGTGCAATAATGTATTCTCATGTTGTATGTTGTAACTTGACTTGTTTCCACGTTTTTTTTTCACGTGCAATATTCTCGTTGTCATTTAATTTTTGCCAATTCAATTTGTAACATAAAAATGCCTCAGCGAGTTGTACACAGCCATCAGGTATGGTATGCAGTGTGTCCCATTTTCATGTTTGATACACTGATGCTGAAAACGCTTAACTATGTGTAATGTGTATTCGTATTTGATGGCACCGTGTCTGTAGTTGTTTTGGTGCAAAGAGGGACACAATGTTCATTTGTCCGTTTAGTCAAAAGTTTTCCACGTTGTGGCTTAGTGTCTTGACATGGTTTTATTCGTTTTACGACTTGGTTTACTTCTTTAAGAGCGATTAGCCATAGTTTTAATATTGTTAGTGTGAGTAGTGCCGTGCGTCTTAACTTAAATGCGATACCGACAACGACCACGCACATTTTAGACGATTTATACACACACACGTGTACGTATAGGGTAAGGTAAAATTGTAATATTTCATCACATCAGATAAAATTCTACAGGTTTTGACAATCCACCATCATTGCAAATTATATTTGTCGGTGAAATGATGTGAGCTTATGTTATCGTCGCTTATGTGTATGTGTGTGCGTGTTCCGAAATGAAATGTGCTTTTGCAGATATTATATGGATGTACGTGTATATATTTATGCCCCTTGAATGTGACGGGATTCAATTTATTTTTATATTCGATTCAATTAACGTTGAGTCCATTTATTTGCATCCAGCTAGACCTATATCTAAATTATAGTCGTGTCTGACTGTGCATTGAGCTTCTGTACATTGGATATTAGCTTACAAAATTTCAATTATGTAAATGGTGTTTGGGCCCGAAATAACGATTTTCTCACAGCTCGCACGTAATGCATAAAAAAAAGTTGAGAACCATTCGTCGTGTTCGGCTTGTTTTTATAATGCGCTCAAATCTGACGAACTTTCAAAAATCTGCTTCACGTTTGTACTTTTTTTCTTTCTTGCTGTTTTCATACATTTCCATATCACGATACAATATAGAAATTAATACAGTGTTGCTACGAACACAATACGGCTTTTATTAATTTGAAATTATTTGCATTTGTGGAATAGATGCTGTGAATGAGAAAGAATGAGATATGAGATCTATAGCAATCAGTTTAGCACAATTGAAATTTATCAACATATCCAATTTAGTTTGGATTGTTTTTGGGAGCTGTATGCCATTATTTGGAAAGATTATCTGTAACTTAATATGCTGTACAACGTTGTGCATATCGATTAGTCGAACCGAAGTTCAACACAACATGTCCACAAAACACAATCCGTGTGGCACTCAATGCGAAATACACTCCGGATAATTGTAAACGTGTTTGATTTTTAAATCAGTTTAACCGCTCCATGGTTTTTCTACATATTTTTCAATGCAGTGTGTGGCCTATTGTATGCATTTCAAATGGTACAGAAACAATTGCAACCTTTTTTTCGATTTGGTACAAAATAAACAAAAGTATATCAAAAGCATAATTGAAACGATCGATTTTTAAATCACAATAGGGTGGAACAAAATGTATTTTCTCGATCCACACTCGATGGAATTGAATGGATTTCATTTTTACAGTGGATTTGATTAAAGTGATCTGAAGTTCAGTTGAAAATAAAAGAATATTTTTTTTGTATATTGTGGTTAGTAATCACAAGAAGTGAGAACTAATTTTATCTGATTGGGATGTACTCATGGAACTGCATGGGGGGGAAAATATCATGTACCATAGGGAGAAAAGTTGGCCAGCAAAAAACACCGGTAAATTAAAAAAAGCATCTCAAAAATCGATAAAACTAAAAAGCAAAATATTATTTAAAAGTTCAGGAGTCATTTATTAGGCTAATATTACTATTTTTTTCGCGATTGTTGTCTTGTCGTATATATATGTAAACACTATAGTGTTTCACTAATATTTTCTGTTTTGCATTGACAGAAGAGCTAAATACACAGCAAATATTATCAGTGGTGTCATTTGCTTTATTTTTTTATGAAAAATATTATTGAATTTTTTTTTACTAATTTGATTTATAAATATTTTACACTTATTATAAATTCTTTAATTTCATAAAAGTCATCCAATGTTTCATATATTGATTATAGTGAATATTTATTTGACACGTATAACCTTGTTATTATTTTTTACTTTTTGCTATAAAGAGTCTTAATTTGAGACTTATGTATGTTCGTAGGCAAATAAAAGTCTATTTTGAGTAAACAGCCAACCCATGGATGTGCTCTAACCAATGAATAACTTGGTACACATCAAGTAATACAAATATCAAATAAAAACCTAAAAAAATAATACGTATATGAAAAAAACCTATTCTAACTTCTGGTCTGATCACATAATTATCTACTGATATTTATACCGAACAAATTATTTTTCTTTACCTATTTATTCAACTTTTTAATCGAGATTCATAATATTTTTTACTAAATTTGAGGATTTTATATTTATACATTCTGTAAAAATGTTGATGAATGTCTCTTGATGATAAAATAAATCTAATCAAATCTAATCTTTTTAAGTATTAGATTATTAAAACTTTTTCAGTATCGCATATATTGTGAAATATCAACTGTTGGATTATTTAAAAACGAAGGAGCCCTTGAAACAAACAAGCTTGCCTACGTGTTTTCGTGCAAACTACGTGTGTAAATAAAACTTAACCGAATCATTATTACAATATTATATTTATAAGGTATGGAAGACGAATGTAGAATATTTTGTATTGTGTTTCACTTTCAATGTGTTTATTTTACAAATATTCGAAATACTTACTTGGTTAACGATAATGATTGGCAAACAATTTTGCATATAAAAATGGTTGTTGATGTCGCTGTTCTATCAATAAGTTTTTGACAATTAGATTGAAAAGTTGAAGTTTCATTAATCGAATATTGTCGTATTCTATTGTATTTTTAAATATGTTGCGATTAAGCATATTTCTCTTGTGCTCGACTGTGCTGAACATGGCGAATGGTTTTACTGAAATAGTAGACACCAAATCAGGCCCGATTCGTGGTAGGGTGAAAAGTACAATTTGGTACAATAAACCATATTATTCGTACAGAGGCATCCCATACGCCAAGCCTCCTGTTGGTGAACTTCGATTTAAGGTATGAAATTTCCTTCCAAATTTGAATTTGCCGATGATATCTGAGAAGCGCATCATAATCTAATGGGGAAATCGCTCTTTTCAACATGTGACACATGTCTATTTGAAAAATTATATTTACTTTAACCTTGAATCATTTTCATAGGCACCAGAACCTGTAGAAAAATGGACAGAAATAAAAAACGCATTTGAATATGGTATTTGGTGCCCCCAACCCTCGAAAAAGGGTAAAGAAACCTCCGAAGATTGTTTAACGCTCAATGTTTTTGTGCCAATTCTTGAGCAAAAAAAAAAGTTGCCAGTGGTATTTTTTCTACCTGGTGGTAGTTTTGCGAGTGGATCTGGTAGCGATTTCATTTATGGACCGGATTTTATGATGGAGAATGAAGTTATCTTAGTGACTGTAAACTTTCGACTCGGAATATTCGGTTTTTTGTCCTTGGGAACACCAGAATATTCGGGAAATATGGGATTAAAAGACCAACAGCTTGCTATGAAATGGGCTTACGATAATATCGAGTCGTTTGGTGGAGACAATAAGAAAATTACACTTATGGGACTTAGCGTAGGTGTGTGAATTTTAAAATTTAAAATAATATATATTTTTGGTATCTTGAATATTTGGATACTCTGATCTTCGAACAACATGTGTTTTTCCACAAAACAGCTGTGCCATTCATGTTTCACAAAAACAGAAATTATTTCAAACAATAGCATGACGAATATGTTTTTAATTCTATTTTAAGGGGCAAACTCTGCTGGTTTCCATTTGCTCAATAATGAATCATCAAAATGCTTCAACCAAATTCTCCTCCTAAGTGGAGCACCAAATAAATATCATAACTATCAGAAAGGCGACCATAAATGTTTGATGAAGGAGCTTTACAAAAAACATAACAATGGCAATCCCAGTGATAAAACACTGATCGATTTTCTAAAAGATGTAAATGCCAGCGAAATCGTCAATTTTTTTCAAGAAACATACGTACGGAAATATTCGGTGTGGACTCCCGTGGTTGAAAGTAAGTCAAATATTTCATTAAAATTGAAAAGTATGTTTTATATTAAGGTAACGTTAGACGCTACCTCAATGATTTTGTATGAAGAAAAGTTGTTTCGTTGTCACAAAATCACAAAGTGCCAATAGCGTACTATTTTGTCTCATTTCAAATGAATCATGTAAGCTCAATATAATGTATGCTATTCTTTTATTGATTTATAGAACGAAGTTCAATACGTCCAATAATTGTTGATGATCCAATGACTGCACTAGAAAAAACAAAGAGTATCAACAAAACTGCGTACTATACGATTACAAAATATGTAAGTTTTAAATATATACTGTCAACACATTCATCATATACATACGTGTTACTTTTTTTATTTTTTTCATACTTATTTAAAAAAACAACTATAACGTTCGTCGCCGATATAAAATTATTGTAAAATTGTCTTACTTGAAATATTTTCATTTTCAAATTCAACAAAATTTTAAATGTGTTTACAAAAACTTACTGACAACAACTATCAATTCAGATGCTATTTATAGTTTTTTTTGCGAATTTCATCTCATTTGTTTGTCTCTCATGCATTTGAGCTTTGTTGTTCAACGTTTTATTGTTTTTTTAGGAATATTTATCACTATTTGAGATCGGAGGAACAGATTATAAAGACCCAACTGCCGTGCGCAATTTTATCAAAGATTTCAATATTGATTTACCTATTTTTGGTTATAAATCAATAATTGACAAAAAAGTAAGTAAAAGTACTTCTATTATTTAACATGTTTTTGTAAGAATTCTTAAATATGTTATGAAAAATTTAATTACAAACGAAAAGAAAATATACTCTTAAAAAATATAGAATGTGAAAAAACTCTGGTTAATCGATGAAAAATATCATTTCAAACTCAAATAAATATCTATTTAAATAAAGTATTCATTGTAAAATAATATTTTATATCGATTAACCAGAGTTTTAACTGACGATATTCTTTATTGTAGCCTGCATATCTTAAAAATGTGATGAAAGAACTCCACAATTATTACTTCAAATTCAATGAATCAACTCCCGATCAAGAGCTACTCAGACAACGTCTTATGCTGGACTCAGATCTCTACTATGCATATACCATAGAAAAATGGATGGAGCGGCATGTTGCTATTTCCAAAAAGGACACCTTTTACCATCGGTTAGTTCTTACGGTAAAAAGTATGATATAATGTAAATATACCGACTGAAATTCTTCGTAGATTTTCACTTCATACCATAATGAATCCACATCCAGAGTTCCCAAAAGATTTTCCGATTGCTGGTCATGCAGAGGAACTTCCCTATGCATTTACGTAATTTTATCGCATAACATAATTCACGAACACAATAATATAAAAAAAAAAAAAAATTTCAGAACCACCCTATATTTTTATAACGCAAAAAAGGTAATAGAAAATAAGGACATTGACCAAGATCACGCAAAAGCTTTTAAAGCAATGAATATGGTACAAAAACTATACACGAACTTTATAAAATATGGGTAATACAATTATAATTTGAATGTTTATTTTTGATTCATATGATTGTCGTTTCGCAAATTACAGAAAACCAATACATAATGATGATCTGATGACTGAAGAATTCAAACCAATTGAACGTTCGAGCAAAGCAGATGAATTTGATTTTGTCGATGTGACGAATTCTGGTTTAATTGCAGGCAAAGGATTGACTGAAGGCAGAACGAAGTTTTTGGACCAAATTATCGAGAAAGTGAAACATTTGGTTGAAAGCCATGGAGATGTCCCGAAAAAAACACAAATTGAGCAGCTACACGACATGAAGTACCCCAAATAAACTTGATAAAATACAACTCACACTTTTTAGTCTATAGACATTTATCAGCGATTGAAATACAATTTGTAATTGCAATGGTAATACGTCATTAAATGTTCAGTTAAAGAGAAATAAATAAGAAAATGTCAAATATTATATGCAAGATTATTTTATGTTCAAACGTATACTACTTTTAAGGTAAATATTGAAATAAAATGCCGAATATCTAGAATACATAGGTGATGACCCTCGTCCTAGGGTTCGGAGCACATATTTTTAGGAACCCTCAACAATTTTGGAAATGAGGACCCTTTTTTTTGCCATCGTCAGGGACCCCCTACACAATTTTGTAATTACCCTCCAAATTTTTTACATCATCTTCTATGTCTAGAATATGCACAAATAAATGTGTATAACGGCACATCGTGCTGTCTTCCTTCGATTCTGTGAAGCTATACTACGTGTGTACAATGTTAGTATAAAATACGTATTATTCAGTGTAGATTTATGCCGTATATTGTGAATATTTGTGTATATTTTGTATTCAACAAACAGATAATATTTATATAAATAATAATTTTTGTAAAAGGTGATGAAATAGAACATTTCTATTGAGTCACATATTTTCTTCTAAAATAATTCTCCCTGTTGCAATTTATCTATATGGCAGATTTTCTCTATAGCTGAAAACATTTATTGATATCGCTAACGTATGGTATGTCATAAAGTACATGAGGTTATCAGCCAATTGATGAGTGATGAAGATTTTATTCAAAATTCCTATTGAGATTGTGTGAAGCAATGGCGATACTCAATTTCATCATTTATTATATTATTATGAATATTATTTTCTTTAAAAAAAAAAAAACAAAAAACAAAATAACAACATTTGATGTGTTGTAGGATCTGTATAAAAGAAACTGAAATCGATCCGACTTCAGAAAGTTGAAGACGAACTTTAGTTCAACAGTAAAATTCTTGTATTTTGAAAGTTTTTTCTTTCAAAAAATGAGTCATATTTTTAAAATTGTCGTGGTATTGACTTTGCTTGAGTATCACGTGAGAATCTTTATTTGTTTCTGTCTAAAATCACAATTTACCAAAAATATTTACTACTATTTTATGAGTGAAATTGCGTAATAGTTTTCGATTTTCTACTGACAAATATCCATAGCTTTCAGATTGTCAGTTGTTTTGATCTAATTTTATTATTATTGGAAGTCAATAAAGCTTTACTCAAATATTTAATTGAAATTATTTCTAAAAATTCATTTTTATTGTTTAAAAAGGTGTTCCAAAGTGAGGCGGCTCCTTCAAATACGGGTGCCCGGCAATTGACGGTTGTAAAGCCAACCTTCATATCCACAGCGCAATTTGTTGACCGTTGTGCGGTCTCAAAAATGTTCACGCGTTCAAATATGCAATCTCAATTTGCTCGTGCACGTATTAGCTCAATGAACTTGCTATCGCTTAAGGTCAAATCAATGTTACCCAAAACGTTGCACGGACAAACATTCAATCAAAACGCTCGCCGAACACCACGGGGTAAATAAAATCTTCTCCATAGATGATTTCTCTTCATTTCTAACATTTACCGATTTTATATTTACATTTATTTAGGAAAAGAAGTTATCGATGCAGTCAAAAAAAGTAAATATTTCATTGGAATAGATAAAAAATATTGATCGTTTTTTTGGTTCAAACTTTATTTCATTATTTCATTTAGATGATTTAGTCGGTTTGTCAAAGCTCATTGCCGGTCATGTTGATGTAAACGAAAGAGATAATGGCGGGATGACAGCGCTGCATTGGGCGGCCGAACATGGTTATTTATGAACGAAATTAGTTGATATTAGCTTTATTACATTCTAAATTAATTTAATTTAGGTCATATTGAAGCTGCAAAGATGCTCATTGAAAACAATGCCGAAATTGATGCAAGAGATAATTATTTCAACACACCCCTGCATATAGCTGCTAGTTGCGGTAATTTTAATTTAAATAAATGTTCAATTGATGATAATGCGACCGTGTTTTGAATTCAAAAACTTAAGAAGAACTAGAAAGGGAGACAAATTTGAAATAACTTTAATTTCTTCGTTAGATTCTTTGAAGATGATGAAATTTCTTGTTGATCGAGGTGCTTACATCTATGCGCCTAATTTGATGAAAGCATGCCCACTAAAACTATGCACTATAAGCATCGGTATGAACTAATCTACTACCAATATACCTTTTCTGAGTTGAAAAACTGTTTTTTCATTAATAAATTGATTCGTTCCATTTTCTCTATTCGTTTTCTGTTTTCAGAAAATGTCCATTCAAGTTTAATGAAAGCAGCGGAGAAAGGTAATCAATGAAATTGATTTCATGTTTATGCATTTAAATGAATTTTTCCGATCAAAATGAGATCATTCAATTGAAATAGTGGAAACATACATGCGCATTGGATGAGATTTCGAGATGTACCATCCTGCATTCTAGAATTTCAAACAGTGCACATGTATGTGCTCAAAATATCGACTACAATCTATAAATTGTGATGATCTCTATATCGGTTTATAAATAACGTGTCGCTAGACAGGTTACGATCTATAAGGTGAATGATCATTTTCTCCGTAGGCGATAAGCTGTTTCACGCAGTTGAATTAGGTAACATTTTTGTCGAATGAGTTTCTTTTTCGAAATTTATTGAGTAATTGTTGTTAACTAGGTGACTTGAATTTAGTACAGCAGCTCATTGGCCAAGGAGTGAATATTAATTTTGAAAACCAGTATGGAGAAACGGCGCTCACATTGGCTATTTTAAGCGGTAACATTTACAAGCTTCAGTCAATTAAAAAAAAATGTGCGAATAATCCAAAGGATTATTTAGGTCATAAAGAAATCGCTGACTGGCTTGTTAACAATGGTGCTGATGTAAATCTCGAATCTTGCGATGGCACGACTCCAATTGATCTCGCTAAAAATATCGGTAAATTTTATGGCAATTTTTTTTTAAAACAAAATTGTGTTACATTCAAATGTTTTTATCAAGGTATGTCACTTCCTCTTTCCAAAACGCCCAATTGGATATCAATAATAACATCTGCGCGGAATACAATTAACAAATGGCTTGTTAACAATCCGGCAAAGGAAAAAATTAAAGCGGCACAAAAACAAAATGGTATGCAAATATATCATTTAATCAAAGAATTTTCTTCATACAAATCATGATGGTTCATTGGAACTTCCTTGAAAATCAGAAAATCGAATTGAACGATCGTATTTCCATTTCAAATCTCTTGATCTCAGGGCACGATTTAACTTGGATTGCCTATCATCGCCTTAACGATATTATCTCGTTTCTGAACTATTTGCGTGCAAAATATCCAAAACTTTGTTCGCTCCACACCATTGGTGAATCGTACGAAGGACGGCCGCTCAAAGTATTGAAGTACGAAATTATTTGTTGCATAATTTAACACAGAAATAGATGAATAAATTTAATTTCTACAGAATATCGAATGACAACAAAAATAATAAAGCAGTTTGGATTGATGGTGGCATTCATGCTCGTGAATGGATTAGCACATCTGCAGTTACTTACATTGCGAATGAATTGCTTAAAAATTGGAATAAACCACATATTCACAATATAAATTGGTATATATTGGCCGTTCACAATCCAGACGGTTACGAGTATTCGCACGAAATTGACCGGCTTTGGCGAAAGAATCGTGCACCGATTGATCAGTGCGATGCCATTGGGATCGATTTGAATCGAAACTTTGATTTTGAATGGGGCAAAGGTGATAGAGTTCGCAATCCAAACGACGATACATACGGTGGAACACAGGCTTTCTCTCAGCCTGAAACATTGGCCGTCAAAAAGTTCATATTTGAAACATCTAAAGACAAATTCAACGCATTCATCAGTTTCCACAATTATGGTCAATACGTAATGTACCCTTCTGACGATGATAAAGATGTAAAACGTGTTGGGAAGGAGGGCGCGAAGGTAAATATTTTTCAATTTTGTCACTGATTTTTCAATAAAAAAAATTGTTATGTTGCAGCGCATGAAAGCGGTAGACAATCGAAATTATAAAGTTGGAACAGGACAGTCGATGTTTAATGCTTTACCGACGGGAGTCGCTAGTGAATGGGCCAAGAGTATTGGCATTAAATACAGCTATACAATTGAATTGCGTGACACAGGACGTTATGGATTCCTTTTGCCACCAAATTTTATCGAAAAAACAGTAAAAGAAGCAAAAGCATTTATTTGGACCGTTTCGGAAACCATTTTTAATGAATTCAAATGAATTTTAATCATTACATGAATTTTCAAATTTTTAAGTGGACATAAAATATCAGGTAACCTAAAAATTATTGAGCCTTTTTTTCATTAAGTTTACAATCAATTTTTTTAATATTTCAAATGAACTTTATCAAACGAAATATATGCCATATTAGTCGATGATCTTCTGCCATTTTGTGGGTATCATCACAGAGACCGAAACAAATGATATTTTGAAAGTCAAAGAAAAAACAAAACCATTAAAGATTGATAAAATTACAGATATATGAATCGATCACCAATCAGAGCGACACGTTTGAGAACTAAAAAACTTGAATTAAAAAGATTTTTTCCATGAATCCGTCTGATTAATTTTTTCTTGCAATAAAACAAGAAAAACAAGTCATTTTTTAGAAATAATATACCAATGCCTAACGAAAAATACACATTTTTTTATTGTTGGTCGATGGAAGTTCCATTGCAAACCTAGGGGAGAGAAACCAATGCTAGTTTTTCTAGTTTATAGCTAATTTACTAGTTTTTAGCTAATTTACTAGTTTATTGCTTGAATAATCTAATAATGCTAATATTCCTTTATGAAATTGCTAGTTTTCTAGTTTTTTGTTCTGTCAAATGACAATCAAATGATTGTACTGACACAATGAAGTATTTTGACGTTTTGTTGTTCAGACATATTTTTATGTGTTTTGAATAAATATACACTTATAATAGTGAAAATTAGTTTAATTATTCTTTTTTAACACAAAATCGTGCATAAAGTACCTGTTTCTTTCAATAGTCGACTTGTAAAATTGATTTGGTCACCAAATCATGGCAGAATATCAAAATGGCGGATCAAATAATTTTTGCTAATTTTTCTAGTTTTTGCTAGTTTTTTTCTAATTTTCCTAGTTTTTACTTGAAATATAAAAAACTAGCTAATGGTTTCCGTCCCCTAGTTGCAAACAATAACCAAAGTACTGAATTCGAAATATAAGAAGCAGCTCGACATACTAATGTATTATACTACTAATTTGATTTTCATTCAAAAACATTCATATAATTTATAGACGATATGTTTTGTAAATTTTTGAAGCATTTTGTTCACTTCTAATTGTGATACGTTTATTGTTTACCTCTCCGTTTGTTCCTAACTACTATTGCAAATATAATGCAACGTATAATCACATAAATTTTTATTACAACACACATTTATACACTCGCATCGTTGTCTCTAGTTCCACATTATCGCCACATTTATGGATCATTTACTTCAATTTTATTACATCTTCGTAAAAGATAGAAGGCGGAAAAATATATGTAAGAAACGAATAAATTCCGTTACAAGATCGATTTGAAAATGACATGCTATATTGTTTGATCTATGTGTCGCGATTACCGCCATACAATATGCAATAAATGTTGCTCTTTCCGCGATGAGTATAGTATAAAAATAAAATTTTCCTTTTAAAAATAACGCAGTTGGTCAATTTGACGTGTATGCATGTGTGGCCATCACTTTATTGAGTGTCACATTTTCACTTTAATGACAGATGGAATGATAGCAATGTTAAATATAAGCCCTCATCTAATTGCAATTTTATTGCATTAGAAATGTTGTAACCAATAAAACTGTCAATCTATTCTTTGCACTGAAGAGCACTTTGAGAAAAATGAATTGTGTTCTTCCGGAAATTATGAAAAACGCTTTAAAAGTTCCCTTTATTCCCGAATTTGTATGTTATTGGCATACATAATAATACTTCTAAATGTATGCATGAACTGGCATTATTTGTTCAATGTGAATCAACAATTCGTCTAACGCATAGAAGCATATGTAAAGAAAATATGTGACTGAAAGCTTTTTCTATATCATGCTTGGGGAAATGTAAATGGATGAATTGCAAAAGGATTCAAAGTTAGAGGAAAAAAAAGAATTTTATTAGCGCTTCATTTAACTTACAATATTTTAGATCCATGTTGTGCTTCTTTTTCTTTTGCTCTTCAAAGTATTAACATTTTTAGAATTTACTTGCACAACAATCCTAGAATCAATATTGCAATTCTTTTGCCAAATCCCCAGTTATCTAAGTGGTATTTTTTTAAATCTAATAAAAGCAAAAAAAGCGCACAAAATATATTGCATTTGAAAGTGCTCGTTTTCAAAATTTCGATACGAATATGGCAAATCATGTGTAAATAAATTTGTTGGATAAATATTCAATGTTGTTGTTTGTGCTCGGGGTGGTCTGTGCAACAACATGTAAAATTTAGTAATTTAATTCCCGATATATCTCCAATAAACTTTAAACATGCATTTATACCAACGCCATAAACCACACAACATTGTTACGCCAAATTGCTTTTGCAAAATTATATAGTGGGAAATTGAGTAATTGCACTATTGCATTCAAACACACGCAACCATATTGTTGGCGATTTTTATTTCTAACCAATATCCATTCTTTACCGTCGTGTCAAACGTCAGATAGTCAAACATGCGCTTCAAGGCGATTTAAATGGATTCTAAAATTACCATCTCACACTATTGGAATTCGTTGATACAAATATTCATTTTGTTTGGTTTTATCGGATTTAAATTTCACGTCCATTCACCTAACAAATGATAAATCTTTAAATCCCATATAGCAAGGAATACGAGACGCACGCTTCCACTATCATCCATACTGGGATGAATAACAGCATTTATTTCAATGCACAAAATCCAAAGCGCACAAAATAAAACTCATCTTCTCTAGTTGAAATTTTGCGTTTCGTTCTTTCACACCTACACATTAAGCAGTGTCTTTGCCCGTTTACTCTTCCGATTGTTGATTGTTGGGTCAGTGTTCAATATTAAATGTATGCATATATATACATGTAACGTGTACACATTATTCGGTATGTTTATTTTTAGAAAATTGTAATTATGGTGTTGGATTTTGTGGTATATTTAATTATTTTCCATCGAAGCGAGCAAGAGATTGAACATGTTCCAAACGAAATACTGAAACTGTCAACACTATACAGGAAACGCTGGTTCGATAAACAGTTTTCAATCAGATTTTACCGAATCGAAATAATCGATCTTGATTGTGTGACTGTGTCGAAAATACACATACATTTTAAACGGTAGTTGGGTTCGATTAGCTGAATAACTATTGAATATGATGACAAGAGATTATAACATGACATTCTTGTTAATTGTTAATTACTCAACATGTAGATATTTAGTGTTCGATGTTTATTCAAAATAGTAATTTACCAACTCGAAATGGATGCGAAGCGATAGAAGAGAATTGGGATGCGGAGAAAGATGGTGGTGGTAGTGCAATGTTTTTAGGATTTTAAATATTCAACACGGCGAGAATTGAAAGGGGAATTTGTTGTCGAGAGGAAAACAATCTATTTATATATTAGTTTGTACAAGATGAAATATGACGAATAAGATCGATGAATGTAGTCGCTGTGGAAAAAAAAAGTCAATTTGACATGTGAGTTATCTTAATCGGGTGGAAAATTTGAATTATTTACAAGTCAAATGAATACGTAGCCATACACGCATATGAACATAAATAGAGATAAGTCATGCCGATACGACCAATTTATCCAATATAAACAATAGACCCATACAGTGTGTGTATTCAGTAAATGGATTCGTCCATTGAATTTCGGCTGCAAAGAGCTTACTACACAATCGACACAATCTATACATAAACACACAAACACACATACACGCAAGTCATAAAAAAATCCTATATATTATTATCGCATAAATTCGCTTCTGAAAGCAGATGATTTACAACAACAATGGAGATTGTGCGAGTGAATTGAAGTGAAAAGATCGTCATTGCCATTGTTAACTTTGTAACTTGATTCATAATTCGTAATAATAAAAAGAGTGGCATAAACGAAGAGACGGAAGAGTGTACGCGAGAAAGACACAGAAAAAGAGATCCATTCAAGTGATGAAAATGTCAAGGATAGCCTTATTTACGCACATATTATTCTTTCTTTATCTTTGGTGGATGCCATAGTAAGTCGATTTTCAACGGAAAAACTTTCGATGCGAATGAAAATTTGAATTTGTCAATCGTACAAAACCCAAATTGAAAAACAAACGAAAAAACGACCGTTTTTTTATTCTTCAATTGAAATACGGATTTGACATTGATCGGACAAAAGTTTTCTATTCTTTTATCGATAAAAGCCATAAATGTGACCTCTATTCTAATTTCAAACTTAAATATTTTTAAACTAATTAAAAGACCAACTACACCCAAATTGGTATTAAGAAAATTGAATGGTTTTGTCTGTGGATGTGTCACTTTATCAAATCGGCCTGTGCAAATGCAACAAAATGACCTTGTGAATGTCTCTGGATTATGAAAGCAAACCATGTCAACACTATTCACTGCAGATATATACATGTTGATGGTTCACATTGCATAACTGAACACTGTAAATATTCGCAAAGTTTTTCGCATATTCCTTTGAATATATACGCAGCGGTATGTTTTTATTTCATTCGCATTCGTGACACTTCGCTTTTTTCGATTTCGTTAAGTTATAAAATGCTTGACACTGATAAATGACGCACCGTATATCTGAACTGGTTTCTTTTCTTTTTTTTGTGTCAAACACACATTTCAACCACCCAAAAAAGGAGAATATTGGAAGGCAAAGCAACAAGAACAAAATCTCGAAGCATAAGCGCCTCTCTAAAGACATGCAAAAGGAAAATTCATAAAAAATTACAGCCGCTTTTTCTTTCAGCAACTTTTTATTTGGTTTTCAGTTTTGAGAGAAAGTGAGCGATGAAAAAAAGAAAATGATTTTCCGCATTTAGTATTTAAGTTGGCTGCTTGGCCTCCACAATGGTTTGAGTAAATAGTTTAAAATGTTGCTCATTCACTCGAAATTTGGCAGCCGTAAATCATTTCTATTTGTATATACAATACAATTTTAACACCACTCAGACGCGCATATATACATATTATTTTTTTTTCTTTCTTCATCTTCCATAAACATGTGGGACAACAACTCTGGTAACGTTTAAATAAATCATTGTGTGTGTGTGTGTTCGTTCGAGTGCGTGCCGGTTTCATTGAGTTTCTGATGTTTTCGCAACTCAGTAACGCAGATAAATCTTATTGTGTGCCGAATGTTTTTCTTTTCGATTTTACGTTCCGTTTCATTTTATTTTCGTATTTTTACACTTTTCGCCCGGTGTTTTTCCTATTGGTGGCTACAAAATGTTGGAACACAATCAAACCAACAACAATATTCATGAATTGTTGTTAGAAGTTTGGCATTCTGATGTGCGTTGATTCAAACAATGGGGTAAAGTTCAATACCCGCAATGTCATATATAAATGTTTCGTTTTCTGCTGCCATCGATGATTTT